TCTATCGATAAGACGTCGAAGCCTTTGCGCTCCTGGACCTGGTCTAAGCTTTGTTGGATTTCCAACTTCCGAACAAGGTGGATTTCCGGCACACCAACCTCCTGGTGTGAAACTACCATTGCCGCGATGAAGAAATTCTTGATCAATCCTGTCTAAAACAGGATCATTTTTCTTGAATTTGCGCGCAAATGCAGTGTCACTTGCTATCATTTTTCCAATGTCATTTAGGGAAAGAATGTGTGGATGCTGTTTTGGAGGGATATCCCAAGCAATATAGTGTAAGTCATGGTTAATAACAGTTGAAGAAAACTCAGGGGCATTGCATATAACAGTCTGAAAATAGCCTTCAGGAGAGGATACAAAATTTGAGTAGTACATAAGTAGTGTCCTAGGAAGATTGTCCCAACCCCATATGCAGTACTCCACAAATGCACGCGAAAGGACCGTCCAAGCTGAGCCTGTATCAAAATTTTAACAGGGTCAGTGGGGATTCATGTAGCCGATTCCAACTTGCTCGGGATTGAGGCATAGCTGTTACTGTTTATAATCGTAAGAAAGGAAAAGAGGACAACTATGGTCCTGGAAGATAATGCAGATGCGCTATACTCCTATATAATGTTGCGCGGACTCTCCAAAATATTGTCGCACCCGTGTCGGATCCTCAGAAATGTACTACTTTTGGAAGATCCGACACGCACCTGGCGACATTTTTAGAGAGTCTGAGCAACATACCGGATCCTAGATATACTGCTTCATATAGTTGACCCCAACTTGCTCGAGATTGAGGCGTAGTTCTTAATATTTATAACAACAAGATGGAAAAGAGGACAACTATGGTCCGGGCGAAAGTGCAGATGCGCTATACTCCAAAATTTTGCCGCACCCGTATCGGATCCTCCAAAAATACACTACTTTTGGAGGGTCTGACACACACCAACAATATTTTCGGAGAGTCTGAGCAACATAGCAGTTCCTGGATGTTCCACATCATAAGGTCTGAACATGACAAAGTCATTTCCTTTTCTCCATAAGATTGGTAAGTTTGTTTAATATATGATGTTTTAACAAACAAAATAGTAGAGTCCCGGTGCACAAAGCATCCCGCGTTAACGCAGGGTCGGGGGAAGGGCATACTACCCTGATGCAAGCATCAGTGGCTGATTCCACGGTCTTTTCAATTCTAAGGGAAAAAAGCCATAGAAATTTTGCATTTAGACTGAGCTGCATTTGTGAAGCATAAACATCAGCAAACACCTTCAAGAAAACCAAAATATGTAGACTTAGTTATGATATCTAACCGGTAAAGAGTTTAAAGGCTGTGGGAAGTGTTCGCCTTGGCGAGACCCAAAATATATCAGATTTAGTATTCTGATAAAGCCCGGGGTCTATAATAAGCGGCATTGCCCTTTGTGACCTACAGAAGGATAAATAGAATGACATAAAAATTACAGAATGAACTGTGAAAACAGCCAAAGCACAAAATGAGAAACTCCGGAAAAAGGATAACATACTCTTTCCATCTCAACCGGCTTGTATGCTCAATGAAATTAAAGTCGCGTTTTAGTTCAGAAAATGTGTAGAGAAGATCTGTAAAGCAAATGAATAAATCAAATAACATCTTCAAGTAAAGAAGCAGAAAATGGACCAAAAATATTTGCTAAACAACAAGAGAACTAACCATCTTGAGTTAGTAGAGGATAATCAGATGCGCTCAGGTTAATAAACCAATCCCAGTGCTTATATTTCTTCAGGAGAATAGACGCGGCATGAAGAGTATTAGAGACCATAGTCGGACCGCGATAAGTCACCATATTTGCTTTTTTAATCACGTGTACATTCCCAACCTTGGCAAAAATAGGTTCATTTGCAACTCTAGAAGCAAGTTCTAGTCTATCTTCTACCGATGATTTTAGGTCCAAGTGAATAACATAATAATTCCGCGGATGATACAATGATTTCAGTGTTCGCCAAAGTTGATCTAAATCACCCTTTGATCCGGATATCAAATAAGCAAAACGCGGTGAAGGAGGAGCAGCAGGAGGCGGAGGAGGAGGACGTGGAACTTGCTTAAGTTTTGCTTCAGCTAAATACAAGCTAGTTTGATTTGTTATAACATGAGATGGGAAAATTGAGAAAACTGAATTGATTGTATGCAATGAAGAAATGAGGCCCATGTCAAAAGAGGTAGCAAGAAGGAAAATCGACACAAGTGAGCTTATAATTAGAGGAAATATCCATCTTTTCTCCACATTCAAGGACCTCATTGCTAAACCTTATCATGTACTCTAATGAATGTCTCTTTTCTCTTCTCCGAAGTCTAACATAAAATCTACCTAGAAAAACTTCAACAGATTTACAATCTGTGCTACTTTTGACCACTCGGCCCCTTCAGTATATCCCTGAAGGAACGATTGACAATAGGTGGAATATCCGCCTCCGTTATCTCAACATTGGAAGAGGAATATCCGCCTCCGATCAAACTCAACTCTTATCGACTAGGCAATCGAAAACCAAAAGGCCCCACGAGTCTGTAGTTATTGGTTATCAAGAATCGCCTTCTTCAAATTGATCCCCTACCTTATACTCTCTGAATATTCTGTTGAATCAAAAGCCAACAAATCAAAGGTCAGCATCAGCATTATTTAAACTAAAATGGTGAAGAAAATTCTGAAATAGTCATTAGACCATCTTGAGCTAAAAGTTGGTAGAAAGACAAAACAAGACTACTACTATTGTAAACATGCTAATGTTCAACTATAAAAATGAATCTTTTTTGATAAGGGAAACAAACAGAAGTAAACATCCAAATGAATCTTTTTAGCAGAATAAGGCCAAGAATGTTACATCAGGACTGCATTTTGGGATCAAAGAGACCAAATCATAGGCCAATAATATGGTCCTAAGCTGATATTTATCTATTCCTTTATTGCATTTATAAATTTTAGATTTGCAATTTCTCAAACACCACAAAAGGAGCACAAAAAACAGAATCTAATACATAATAAATGCAATGGCTTCATCTTTTCTTATATACACACATTTTGTTTTTAATTTTCTACATGAATATACGTAACTCAAGCCAGTAGCGGAGCCACATGCAATGAATTATCGAAAAGTTATGCTGCATAAATAGGTAAAAAAAAAATTAAATTTTTTTGAATCGCTCGAAATAGAAGCGTATAGATTCAAATCTCAGGTGTGACATTTACATATATTCTTGAACCCCATGTTGGAATTCTTGTCTCCGCTACTGACTCGACCCTGATTATACCCTTTATTGTCTATATGCTGGATCCATCTCTGCCGTTATAAAAAAACATGTAAAGGTATAATACAAGAGAGAGAATTCAATTTACATGTACATTTGAGAAGCTTGAAAAAGATGATCCTTTGTTTTGTACACGTCCAAGAATGAAAATGAAGAAGAAGAATAAGGACAATGGACGTAAAAGAGAAGAGCCTCTTCTTCCCTTTGGCTTTGTTGAGCTATTCTGTTAACTGACTTCCGGGAAACCATCCCACATTGGCACATTCTCAATAATAATTTTTTTTTCCCGTCAATTCTCAATAATATATATTATTTACTCCTTATAAAGTTTGGCTAGTCTTTTTTCTTCAATAGTTTTTATTTGGGGTAAAATGGGTTGTGGATAACTTTGGGATGATATTTGGTGGGATTAAATTATATAAGCGAGGATTGATACATACGTCATCCCCAAGAGAAGAAGTTTTAAGTATTTTGGGTTAATAATCTAAGAAAATGCGGAGATCGACAACGATGTCACACATCCTGTTGGAGTGGGGTGGATAAAACGGAGGCTCGCATCCGACGTTCTATGTGATAAGAATGTGCCATCAAGACTTAAAGGTAAGTTGTATAGAGTGATTGTTGGACCAACTATGTTGTACGAGGTAGAGTGGTGGCCAGTCAAGAACTCACACGTTCGGAAGATAAAAATAGTGAAAATAAGGATACTTAGGTGGATGTGTGGGCATACTAGGAGAGATAAGATTAGGAGCGAAGATATATGGGACAAGGTGGGAGTGACCTCGCGATGGACAAGATGCGAAAAGCGAAGTTGAGATGGTTCAAACATATGAAGAGGAGTACTAAAGATGCCTCGGTGAGGAGGTGCGAGAGATTGTCAGTGATAGGTCTAAGAAGAGGTAGAGGTAGACCGAACAAGAATTGTGGAGGTGTGATTAGACAAGACATGACACATCATCAACTCACCAAGTATATGACCCTAAATAGGAGAGCATGAAGGTCGAAAATTATGGCAGAAGGTTAGTAGGCAATCGAGCGATTTATCTCCTCCATCTTCTCCTTATTATTATTATTATTATTTTATTATTACTATTACTAGTACTATTATTATTATTGATATTATTATTATTATTATTATTACTATTATTATTATTATTCTAGTATTATTTTATTCTTCAATTTTATTACTATTGTGTTTCTTTCTTCTTCTTTTTTAATATTTTTACTTTTTTTGCTGTCAATACTTTTCTTTTTTTTTTCTTCAATATTTTTCATCTTAGCTTTTTTTAACTCTTGTTTTTTTCAAACCTGTTTTGAAAACGCTTTCCTTGTGCCGAGGCTTTATCGAAAATATGATTAAGAGGGTTTATCGAAAACAGTTTATCTACCTCAAACAAGACAAGGTTAAGGTCTGTGTATATCTCATTATACCCCACTTTTGGGATCACACTTGGTATGTTATTATTGTCGTTGTCTAAGAAGTGGATCATTCCATTGGAACCTATTAGTTGCAATTCCAATTGTGGCACTGATGAAAAAACTCACAATGCTTACGTCAAACCAACGAATCAAACCAAAAATTTATATAGTTCATAAATGTTTTGTGTGTTATTTAATCATGATTAAGTACAGCGTATTCATTTCACTTAATTTTGAGACTTTTAAAATTAAACTAATATACTTACCCGCGCGAGGCGCGGATCATTTCAAAGGAAAAAAGAGAGGAGAAAAATATTAAAAACAGATATAAATTGCAGACTACATTTAGCAACCGCATTCAAAAGAATTAAACCAAAAAAACGAAAAGATAAATTTAATCGAATTTTCTCTATAAAATTGTTGCCAGGGACCACTAATTTTCAAGAGATGTTACATCATATTGGAGTAATGCTACACAAGTACTTGGCTTTAAAAGGATTAGTCCACCTGAAAATACAAAAAGAGTGTCTCAAGTTATGATCCGCAAAAACAAAGAACGGTTAAAGATCTGTATAATCACAGTAATTAAGACATCACCTCCATTGTGCTTTACTGTGGATCAGAAGTATATGAGCACATGAGCAAGTCAATCATGTTGATCGATGATATAAACGAAGACTCATATGGATAACCAAGATCCTAGAACTACCTAATCTTTGTTAACAGAATCTATATAACTGTTTTAATTACTGATATAGCAGTAATCTTGGTTCCAATCGAAACACCTTCATGAGAAGCTACTTGTTTATATACAGCCGAGGACAGAGTTTTCTGTTGCATACTTAAGGTAAGTTTTGCTACCTGTAGAAACATATGTATATTACAAACTATTAGATGAATTGATCGGTAAAAAATTGTTCATGTTTCCTCTTTAATATTGGCTGCCCTAGCTTGTGCTGTTAAATTCAGTATCTAATAAAAAAAATCATTAGTAAGGGTATGTCAGGCTGTAAAACCAGGTATCAACAAAGGCAGACAACAATCTTACCCAGCTCTAAGGCAATACAAGTTCTCTATTTATTAGCAAAAGACAAAACAATATATTAAATTAGTTGAACATGACAACTTCAAGGCAAAGAAATTAAAAGGAACTTCCATCTTATGCACTCATGTAAAGTTCAAAGATAAAACTTGTCTCAAATTGAAAAGAAAATCAACATAGATAATCAAGAAAAGAGTATTCTTACATTCCCCATAAAAGGGTCTCAATCCAAAAGAAGAGTAGCAACTCAACCTCACTATGGCCTCTAGTTGTGGCACAGTAGATATTACTATTGTCTCCCTAGTTTCATTTGATTGCCGCCTCATATCCTGAAGCAGATAACGAAAGAAGCAAATATCAGTGAGACATATACAACATTTTCACAATCAAGAAAGTTTTGTACTGAACTGTTGCAGGAAATCTAATTCTGGACAAACCTCATAATGAGCCTGTTGAAATACTTACCTGCCTAATTTTGACATAACTTTATTGTAACATTGAGGCTGCATAATATGGCAATCGCGGATGACAATTGATAGTACAATATTATATGTATCTGCAACAAAAACTCATTAGCTTCAACATGTAGACCTTAAAAATAAGATTGTTGCTTTATCATCACAACATTGTAAGACCATAAGTAGAATAGTTATTACCTACTCCCAAACTGCTTAGCTTCGGTTTAAAGTTAATTTTAAACTCATCATATCCATCATAGCATATTATTCACATTCTCATCTTTTTTTCCACTATTCTTTGTGTCAGACTTACTGGTGCATTGGTCATGGCAAAAAATAACGGTCCTAACTGATTGGTTCTAATCACCTGTGAATAATATTGGAAGGATCTACATTTAGTATATGCACATCTTCATTGTTGATTAACCATTTAAGATGCAAACATATCCAGATAGGAAAAAAAAAAGCATAGTTACATATGGTGCGTGGAAGATTTCGAAATACATTCTTTTCTGTTTTTCATCCAAAAGTTCTATAGTGGGAGGCAAAAGTAGTTCCAAATGGAATATTTCCCTATAGTTTTGAATTACCAAAATATTTTCAATTATAACGAATTTCACATTCTCAACAAATAATGAAAATAAATATAAAAAAAGATCATAACTCTCTAACAACCTAAGAAGGTGATAATACTTTCCTGTTATCATAGTTAACTAATACCTAATTGAATTCAACAAAGCGAAAACAGAATAGCAAACACAGTCTTGTTGTTGGTGAAATGATCTTATCCATGGTAATAATGGCAAAAGATAGCGTCTTTCCAATTTCAAAATAGTAAAAAACCAATTATGCTATGAGTACTATAAAAACCACTAAATAAGTTAAGTTTTTTTTTTCTTTCAGAAAATCATCAAAAAATATGGATACACACGAAAGAGGAAAGTTACATGCCGGGTGCCGAAGAGAGGAGGAGAACCAAAGGAATGGAACTGCCATGGATGTCTTTGGGAGTCGTAGAATTAAACTACTTAGCTTGGGTTTAAAGTTTATTTTAAGGTAATTACAAAAAAAAATTGATAATTATTTTTTTTGGTGGGGTCAGGAATGATCTTCTACGCAAAAATACTTACTTAGCTGATAAATTTACAATATGTTAATTCATTACAACCATACCTAGCACCAGTACTCCTAGAGAGCAACTATGTACGAAGTAGATTAAATGTAGAAGAATGTTTACCTCAATCAGTCCCAAATGGCACAAAATTCTATTTTAAGCAAAGCCAACACAAATCGCATAGTCACTTTAATTTTGATCACTTCTCATCCTTCAAAGTATCCTGACACACAGCAAATAGAACATGTGCAATAGTAACTACGATGGACGAAAAATAGCCTGAAAAAATCATCCCTGGAAGCATACTCAAATAGGAAATTACCATTTTCTTAAGAAATCAAGCAATAATCAGCAAAAAACATGCTCAATGTTCCACCTCTAATCAATTATTTAATGCAAAAATAAATTGCATAAATTCTCGACTTCCTTGTGGACAAAATCGTCGACCAACTCTTGAGAGAATTACTAAAACAGTAGCTCAACTCCATTATCCTCTTCTTACAGCTCGAACTCGCCATGCTAGTTCCATCCATTGACAATCTCTTTAAATCTTAACAGAATGAGTATCAAGTGCTAATACCACATATTAAGAAACAGTCAATATGTAACCTGCAAAAACAAACACAGTGTAAGTAATAAAAAATAACCCTGAGTCCTTTTATTGAAAAATAAACTTTAATCGCACGATTCTTTTCCGTCATCATAATATGGTACGTAGAAAATGTATTATTTATAGTATGGTACGTAGAAAATGTCCTAGATCGAATGATCATGTCAAAACTTCTGTGTGTTGTTGAATGTTATACCTCGTACTTTAATATTAGGATAAGTCGTAGTAATTCATATGAGCTTGAAGGGATTAAGACCATTAATAAGATTATAGAAGATTTGTGACTATAAGACCCCGTAATTTTAACAACCTTGATACCGTTATATACATTTGATATGGTATTTTGAGTGAAATATTTTTGTAAAACAGTTTGAAAAATATGATTTTATATAATTATTAATATTACTACTTTCAATTACACACATAATATGAGAAAGTTTATGAGATTTTCTTTATTGTAAAGATAGAAATTATTTTCTCACAAGAAAAGAAGGTTATCTTTTTACCATTTTAAGAATTAACCGTACGAAAATTTTACTCTTTATATGAGATTAGAAAAATTATAAGTTGAGAAAATATATGTATTTTTGCATGGATGTTTTAATGAAATAATAGTGTATGTATTTATTTTACATGGTACCACATGAACATGATAGTAGGATGTATAAAGTGTATTAAAAATAAGTAGAATTTTAAGTAATTTGAGATAATTCTTAATTATGAGGGTAATTGGTTAATTACCGGGTAACGGAACATTACCTAATTACCTAATAAGTGGATAAAGATTAAACTTTCCCACCCCATCCCCACGTGGAAGCAAGCCATATCCTAAAGAAATGACTATGAGTCATTTCTTATTAGGTGGCAAACTAATGTGAAGTTTTACACATTCATTTCATTCTTAATAATTTCCATATCAAAGACACTACAATGAGTGGGGGACGTTAGCCATTCTTATAAGTTTCAACAAATTTCCTTCTCAAGACATTACAATGCAATCCTTATAAAATTTCAACACAATTTCTTGCCATCGATTCCTACAAACATTATTATTTTCTAATCAATATTCTTGGAAGTGTAGTTTTTGTGCTGGACCATAGTGCATCACACAGTAATATTTCCTTGGAGCTTTGCCTTATTCAAAAGGCAAGCCATTTAAGATCTTTCTTTAAGATTTTGATGAGGTCATGTGTCTTTTCTTTCTTTTAAATGTGCCTTTATATTATACAATAGTTATAATCTACTTATGTTTGGCAAGAGCAGTAATATTTTGAACGCATAGTTAACCCTACTTTGCGCTCTTCTCCTTCTTCATCCAACCTATGTATACAAATATCATACGGATTTTTTCCTACTTCGATCCTCCATTATATGCTTTGTCGCGTTTGATGTGTGTTGGAGGGATTGTCAAGAGAATCGGCTCAGGTATGTTAAGGCTAATCCTTCATTTTGGCATCATCCAAGTAACGATACGTAAACGTAATGCTATTCCATAAGTGGTTCTACTCTTAACAGTTAAGGATGCCCATGTTATTCATTCATGTAAAGTTATATTTAAGTATGTTTAAGTATGTTGCTAAGTCTATATTGAGGCGTACGATAAAGATGTTAATGTTTATAATATAGTGAGACATGCATCTCCATGCATATACCACCGTGCTACGGCCGGTCGGGTAGTTACCACCGGTTGGGCAGTCATGCATCATACGATATGGATAATAGATTCAAAGAGAAGTATTATATATGTAAGTATAATAAGTATGCATATACGGTGGCACTTCAGAGATTCAGGTTGATTCTTATATGTCTTTAATTAATGTTGACTTATTGTTATATTTCAGTTCTGCCTTACCTACTCAGTACATTATTCGTACTGACGTCCTTTTGTTGGGGACGTTGTATTCACGCTTGTAGGTATAGATAATCTGTTTGACGGGCTCTCATAGTAGACGAGATTGGTATTCAGTGAAGGATCGGTGAGACTTCACCTCATTCGGAGTGCAGCCGAGTCTATGAGTCATCGGAGTTTTGCTATAGACTTACGAGTAGGCCGGTACTCTGTCCCATTTGATGTCAAATAACCTTAGAAGTTTTGTAGACAGAGGTTCATTTTGTACAGTATGTCAGAGGCCTTGACGGCTCATATGTATTCATGTTTTAAGAAAAATGATTCAGTGATATAGTGTTTTCCCACTTACGCTTGTACATTATGAGTTGTGGCCATGTTGGCCCATGATAGTTACAAAAGGAATGAGTTTAGCCAACTCGGCCTATGTATGTTCTAGTTTTGGTCGAATGATCATGAGTTACAGAGTGGTTCGCTCGGGCCAGCTAGGCACCAGGTGCCAGCCACGCCTCCCTAGGTTTGGGGTGTGACATTGAAGGCTTCATTTGTCCTTTCTATTTCAGGGCAACTGATGATATGCTTGCTAAATTGCATCTCTATAACAATGAATGTGGACATGAGCGGAGTGGAGGCATGTTTCCTCTCAGTATGCAGCTTTTGTAGACTTATGCCTAAGTAACAATTTGAAAAGTTCTAGACAGTAGCTAGGATATTTTAAGCCATTGCATCTTTTAAAGAAAAATTTGTCCTTGGCTTTTCCCTCCCAAGCAATCTCTTCTGTGGTCACAAGGAGAAGGGAATTGTATAGTCATGAAATTAGTAATCAGGGTGTCAATTATTTTTAGTCAAAAATTATGGCAAAAAATGCAATTCTTCCAAAAACACTCTATTATATGACTGTCGTATACTAACGAATATGTAAATAGTTTAAAATAGAAGTAAGTCTAAAGTTTAAAAACATAATTTTTTCATCCATCAGATTAACCTCAATTGAAAAAGGACTATCAGGTCTGCGCGATCCAGAACTGCAACACTTGCAGTGCACGATTGTTTGTCCAATAATCATAAGAACACACAAAAATCTGCACTAAATCATTTCTCAAGATGCTTACTAACTATGTGACAATCTGCTACTTTTGAGTTTTCCATCTTAAAGCATTTCTGTTTCTCATGCACGTCTATCTGGAGAAACCTTTCTAAGGTTTTGAGCTTATGGAAGCACTTCTCCCTTCTAACAACTTCCGCAAAGAAGTATATTACATGTAAACTATATACTAAAAAGTAGTATATTGGAAGCAAAGGTGCATCAACATATGTCCTTTAAGCTCCAACGCAAGTGTCCAATGCACATCAAATGAAACTATCTCAAAGGCATAAGATGCTAAAATTTAAGATGTTTTTTTTAAGTAAGTTGCTAAAATTGAAGATGCTATAGACTGTTCCATTATCTATACATTGTTTCCTCTCTTATTAATTTATCTATAAAAAAAGTACTTTTGATTATTCTAAAATTCTGGCCTTAAGCTGCAGGACAAAATAGGCTCTTCTAGACTCAACAATTAAACCCTTTGATTGGTAAATTTTTTCTCTGAATCAGATGCAAAAAGCTTAATTCAGGCACGAGCATTTATGATTAGCAACTTGAGCAATAGTTCTCATGATTAGTGGAAGCAAATTATTCCTTATTGATAAAGGCATCTTTTTTTTTTCGCCTGCTTGTTTTGCGCAGGCACGCCCTACTGGGGTAAATGTAGCACCCCATTTTTCTGCACTTGAGGATTTCACAACTTGCTAAATTACTGTACATCACTATACGACATAGCAACTTTTAAAACTATATATTGATTTGAACTTACCATATTATTCCAAAAACAGTATGAGTGTTGAAGTTGAAATTTTGCATTTAAACGCATATTACGCAAAGGAAAACTAAAAGAAAATTAGACATACCATATTCAGTATCATCAACAGCAACAGTAGCAACGAACAATAGATGAAAACATAGGCAAATGACGCACATAACTTTTGAGAACTTATGAGATTTCAACTTTCAAAATATTTTGTCTAACCTTCTAAAAAATCTATTTCTCATTGATAGAAAGAAGATAATTACAATTGAAATACTAATTTGTGATGCAATTCTAATTTTGGTCATACCAGAAGAAAAGAAAAAAATATCCCCTGGAGTTCTCGTGATCCAATAGATTGTTACAACTGAATCCCAAAAAGGGGGAAACACAATGTAAGGCCTACTATGAAAAAATTGAAAAAACAAAAAGAATTTAATACAGAGAAACATGACGTGAACATGAAATTTTATACCTTCAAATCTTTCTCACAGACGGTAAAACTCTCTCTCTTATTAATTTCTTCTAGCCTTGGATTTAACGGATTTTAGGTTTTGGTTAAACGGTTGTTGGGTTCAAACACATACTTAAATTATGAGGCGCTTTTAAGTTTCAATTTAAGACAAGACACACTTCCACAATGCCAGGACAAAAGCATGCTAGTATTACTATTGATAATGGTAATCTAAGCAAAAAAAATAGAAAGATACGTGCAATGAATCTATGAATCTCTTTGTAACTGAAAGGTACCCGTAAAGGAGGCAGAAGCTCGGCGTAGCAGAGTGTTGATCGGAGAAGAAAATGGTTAAACTTAAAGAGAATATTAGGGAGCAGTTATATGGATCCCGTCAATTATCACTCCAATACTCAGATTATGACGCTTTCTTTTCCTACAGTTATGTGAGATGTGAGCGCACGTAGGTTCCTTTTTAGTTTAAAATATAGTAGTAATTAAAAAATAAAATAAAAAATAAAAATAATAGAGTTATATGTATTGGTAACTTCTCATCACAATGTAAAATAGAATCGGTTCACATAAAATATTTTCTCAAATATATTAATATTTAATTATCATTAAATTCAAATTCAAAAATAATAACTAATTATTAACTAATTATAAAATGTAGAAATTATTGTTTCTTTAAAAAATATATATACGTATTTATTTTATTTTTCAAAATAAAATTCAAAAAGAGAAACTAATTTTACCTAACTAACTAATTTGTCCTTAAGTTGTTACATGGCAAAATATCATGGTTGACTTCTTTCCTTTTAAGTAAATACTAGTATTAGTACGCGAGAGATG